TACAGTAGGTTTAATACTATTTATATCTAACTTTTTATTAAAATTAGTTTAATATTTATGTAATATTATGTGTTTTTATAACTTTATTAATATTATGATATATTTTTAGCTTCACAAAATAATTTGAGTACTTTAATCAAAAATAATTACTTTTTATCTCTAAGTAAAGTTATTCAGCAGGTTAATATTATTTATATCTAATTTTTATTAAAATATTTATATAGTAATATATGTTTTTATAATTTTATTAATATTTCAGCATTTTTTTAATTTTACAGAATAATTTGAATATTTTGATTAAAGTTAATCACCTTTTATTTCTAAGTAAAAGTTATTTAGCAGGTTTGATATTATTTACATTAAAATTGGTTTAATATTTATATAATAATATGTATTTTTATAAATTTATTAAAATTGCAATATTTTTTTTAAATTTTATAGAATAATTTAATCATTTTAGTCAAAGTAAACTACTTATTGCATATTAAATAAATATGTTTTATAGATCAAAAAACTACTTGTATATTAATTAATATTTATTAAGTGATAGTTATTTTTCGTAACTGTATTAATTCTTAAAATTTTTTGAATATTTATTTGTATAATTTATTAAATATTATATCAATATAAATGTATATTACAAAATTATCACAAAAAATAAATAAAATATTTTAAATAAAAGTATTTAAAATTATTATTTTATTATAATTAATTTTTTTAAATAAGTTTTAAAAAAATTTTTTTTTTGAATTTTATAATAAATTATTCAAAAAAAAATGATTGGTTAACCTGAATTTTATTAAATTAGGTCATATCAGATTAATATATTAACTTAATCTAATATTAATCTGAAAATCTACTGACCTGATCTGAATTTTTAGATCAGATCAGGTTAAGTAAACTAGTTGATCTGATCTAATTTAAAGCTTTAAAAATAAAAAATTAGTTTTAAAATTGAAAATATATTAATATAATAAGTGTATATTATTTTTCCTATTCTATATGAAATTTCTTTAAGTATTATTAAATCAATGTTCTAATTATTTAAAGATTTTCTAAATAGAAATGAATCAAATTTTTAATTGTTTTTATAAATTAGAGATTCTCTATATAGTGGTAAATTATAGTTCTAATTATTTTATATAAAATACTATTTAAAAATAAATTAAAATACATATGTGTAAATTGAAGATCAGATTTATCAGTCTGTAATTAATTTTTTTAAATGAATTAAGATAAAAAGATGTGATAAATTTAATTGATCTATACTTTTTAGTTAGGCTATTAAAGATTCTATCTTTATATAATAATCAAATTTCTAAATTTTAAATCATATGTAAAAATACATATCTATTACTAAATAAATTACATTGTAATTGTCAAAACTTAAATTTTACAAATTTATGATATTTTATGAGTTTGATAGTTTTAATAAAAGTTATACCTATTTAATATATTTTTATAACTTACTATTAAAAAGATTTATTTACAAATTAATCTTTATTTATTCAAAAATCATTTTTTATATACTTTATTAATATTTTTCATAATTATTATTTCTCTTTGATCTTAATTATTATACTTCTTTTCATCATTATTATTTTTTATAATTATTATTTTAAAATCTATTTTTTCATTTATAATGCTATTATTACTTATTATTATTTCTATAATCTTTAATATTATTTTCTTTCTTATTTTTATTTTTTTCTATATAATCTTCTTCTTTATTACTTTTTTAATTATTCTCATTTATCATATTCTTTTATTTCATATTATTAATATTTTATTTTATTAAATATTTTCTTTCTTCTGTAGATTATTTTTCTTTTATTTTTTATTATCATTTCCTTAATTATTATATTTTTTATTTTAAACCTTCTGTTTAATTATTTTATTATTATTTCTTTTTTTTTAATTTCTATTTCTATTATTATTATTATTTATATATTATATTATTATCATCATTATTTATACATTATATGTTATAATACATTAAATTAATTATTTTATTTTTTTGATTTATTCTGATAAATTCATATTAAAAATTTATTATTTAGATTTATTATTTTAAATTAAAAAATTAGGATAAATATATTATTATTTTTTAAATATTAAATTAAGTATAATTTCTCTTTATTATTATATAATTGATAATACATAAATAAGTGAATTTTATAATAAAATACTATCTCTATTTATATAAATTCTAATATTAATCAATTTATATGATTTTCATTTATCTTTTTAATTTTAATTCATATTTTTTTTCTAATTTCCTATTAATTTCATATTTTTTTATTTCCTTTTTAGTAATTTTTAATTTCTATTATTACGTCATAATTTCATTATTATTTTTCAATATTATATTATTCTTTTATTATTATTATATCATATCTATTTTTAAATTTTATTAACACTTCTTCTAATAACAAATTTTAATTTTTATATTAATTTTTATTTTTACCTTTTTATTACAGTTCTAATTTCTATTTCTTTTTCAATTTTTTCTTTATATATTTTTTTGTTTACAATTCTAAAAATTATTATGTACTCTCATTATATATTATTATTATATGCTAATAATATTATTATTATATTATTTTTATTTTTTTTAGATTTTCTTCAATTTTCATTAATTAAATTTTTACATTTTCTTTTCTTCTATATAATAAATTTTTCCTTTCTTTACATTTATATGTATATTTATATTATTTTTGTTAATTTCTTTTGTTGATAATATAAGTTATATAAGCATTCTATAGTTTCAATTTATTAGTTTTTTATCTAAGTTTTTATATAACACTTATGCATATTCATAGGTTTTTTTTTTTTTTTTCTTTTATTTTAAGAGTTCTTTTAACTATTCTTTTTCTTTTCAGTTATTTATATTTCTAGGTCTTGTAATCTATTCTGTATTAAATTTTAATTATTATATTATTACAATTAGTATATTATATTCTATAATTTTTAGTTAATTATTTTTTTCTTTATGATCGTTATTTAATTAGTAGTTTTCTAATTTCTTAATGTAATAATTTTAATTTTTATCTATTTCATTAAAAAGGATTATATGATATATCATTTTATAATTTTCTAACTTTACAATATATTAAATTGGTTAATAATAATAAATATTAGTTATAAAATTATATTTACTACTTATATTTTATCTTTATAATATAAATAAAGCTAATAAAATATTTTTAACTATATATTAATTTTAATATTAAATCTAAATATATCTTCTTTAAATATTATTGTATTTCATAATATAATAATATTTTATATATAGGAATATTTATAAATATTAAATAAATTATTTTATAAGAAATAAACTTTACAAATTGTATTTTTATAAAAGAAAGATTTTCATATTTTTATAAGAGAAAAGTTCTTATACTTTTATAAATAATGGATTCTTACACTTTTATGAAAGAAAGTATATTTTATATTTAAAATAATTGAAATATATTTTATAAATATATTTATCTTTATTAATGATTATAAGATTTAAAATTTAAAGTAAAATAATAAAATATTAAAAAAAAAGTTAAAAAAGATATTTATAATAAGTTTACTAGTTAAACCTATAATTTTATTAGTAAAATTTATGATAATTATTTTTGAAATATCATATAATTATTAATTTTAATTAATACAAAATTAATTATTATAAAATTTACCAAAATAAAAAGTTAGTTTTAATAATAGAAAAAGCATTCTATTATATAAAATTTTAATTTTATCATATAGAATAAACTAATCAAATTATAAAATTACATAATTTGACTAATCTAAAGTAAAAAATTTATATATAAAAAAAAATACAACTAAATTAGATTTAATTTAACAAGTCTTAAATTCTAATATAAATCTATAAATAATTTTATTTTACAAAGTTTATTAAATTATTTTATTGATTTAACCTTATAGAAATATTTATATTTTTTATTATTAATTAAGAGTTTTTATAATTTATCTCTAAATAATTATAACTAGAAAATAGGTATTGCTATATATTTGAAGCATTAATTTATATCATTTAAATATATGGGATCTTTGCAATAAAAAGGGAGAAAACTCCAAAAAAATTAAAATTTTAGTTTATAAGTCAAAAATATTTTAAATACTATAATTTGTTCAGATTTATTATTAACTCATTTTTTATTTTTTTTTGAGTTTCCTCCCTTTCTATTGCAAAGGCCTCATATAATAAAAAAAAATCAAAAAATAAAGTTAATGTAATTATTTTTTATATAAAACTAATTTATTAATACAGCATCACGTAAAAAAAATTCATCAATTCTAATGATATAAATACAACTGAATAAAAAGTATCTATTTATGTATATTACACCTGATCTTAAATTTCAATTGGTTAATTCTATAATAAACAAACAGATATTGTATGATTTTAACTATAATAGAAGTATTCTTCATTATGCTTTAGATAATAAATATTTAAGAAACTACTATTTATTTATATAATATATATATATTAATTATAATAAAGATTTTTAATAATAAGAAAATTTATAATAAAACTTATTGTATAAATATCAGAAACTCAAATTTTACAATTTTAAAATGATTTTTTTTATAAATTCTAATAAATTATCTATTATTAAATTATCTGTTACTACTTTTATATCATTTAATTTATTGTTATCTAAATTTTTATATTTTTATTAACAGTCAATGTGCATATCAAAATTATGCTAAGCAAATAATTTATTTAGTGTAACAAAAATGATCAATACAGTATATTTTTCATATGATTATATAGAAAACTGTCAAAATATAATATCTTTTTTTGTAAATTTATATAAAAATAAATTTTGTATTACATAATTTAAATACATTTTATGATAGCTGAAGGTAAAAATTTTTATTTTTAGGTGGTCTCATTTTCATAAACTTTGTTTAAGTAAAGAATCTCAAGTGTTAAGTTAATATACAATCTATAATGATCTTTTAACTATAATTTCAATTTTAATATGAAAATTATATCAGAGTTTAAGGACCAAGACCTTACAGATAATAATAACGACTTTTTTGAACAATTTTTAAAAGATAATAATGATGGTTTTAAATATGATAAAGTATTTTTAAGTCAGTTAATAAGTCAAGAAGATCCAACATTATTAAACACCAAAGTTGATAATTTAACTTTAATGCAACAGATTCTTGATATTCAAAAAAATGATCAATATTCTCATATTTTCATTCTGACAGTTTTACTCAAGAAGCTATTAAAATAGATGAATGTAATTTTGATAATAATATTAATAAAAATATTTATAATGACTAAGAAAAATTAGAAAACTCCACTAATATTAAGCCAGAATTATGTAAAGATGAAACATATATTATAAACAAAATAACAAATATAATTTCATTTTCACCATGTACTATTATCAATACTGTTAATAAATAATTACAAACTTGTAGTAATGATAGTAAAAAAAATATTTTTCAATTGGTAAGAACTTAATAAATTGATACAAATTTTGCAACTGAATTTTTGGATAGAAAAATTAATTTAGGGATATGTATATTTCATTTCAATTATGATCAAAAAAATCATGCTGATCATATAAAATAATTAAGAAAAATAAAGCATAGTATAGTATATCGAAGGAAATGTTTATTTTGTGAACAAAATTTTTTTTTGGTCGCAAAATGAATTATCATCAATATTCTTGAAATATTTTTAATGGAAATATACAAGTAGCTTGCAATAGACAATTTAGTTGTAATGCACTTAAAATATGTTTAAATATATCAAAGTTAGTTAAAGCAGAATTTTCAGATTCTTAATATATATGTTGCAGTTGTTTTGAAATTAATAGAGAATATATTTATCAAAAAAGTAATTTGGAAAAGCTAATTTTAGTTATAAGAATGCTAGATTACATGATGAAGATACTAATAAAATGCTTATAGCGTTAGTAAATTAGCTTTATATATTATAAAAAATGAAAATAATATAAAAAAAACTATCCTTATATATATGCTAAATTCTGCATTATACTTTCTTTAAGATATATCTTTACCAAAAGTATTAAAAAATATGATAATTTTAATATAAATTATCAGTTACCAATATTTTCTACTATTTCTACTATTTCTATTACTTTTACTGCTTCTACTACTTTCACTACTTCCACTACTTCTACTACTTCTGCTACTTCTACTACTTCCGCTACTTTCACTACTTCCAGTATTACTTTTATTAATACATTAAATAATATTCAATTACCTACCTTTTTTGCATTTCAAATTCTTTTAAAAATGAATAAACTTTCAAATATACATTCTTCTGAATTAAATATTTCTGATGAACAATGGTCTAATGTAGAAAAAAAATTAGTAGAATGTATTTGAAAATCACAAAAAGAATTAAATAAACAAAAGAATACAATTCAAAATTTAACATCTCTTGAAAATTATTATTCAGCTTTTCCATCATATTTAACTGGCTTTTTTGAAAGTTTATGTAGAGAGATTTTGAAAAATAAATTAAAAATATCAAATGCTCAATTAAAATCTCAAAAAAAAATCATTAAAACAACTTAATGAATAACAAATGATGAAAATAGTTACCTTTTTATTTCAGTATTAGTTAGAATTACATTTTCAGATTTATAAGTTTGGTTTACCCAAGTACTTACAAGTCTTAGTTGTAAACTAAAACTTATTCAACAATTTTGTCGTCTTCTTTCTATTTTACAAATAAGTGGACATATCGATGATTAAGAAAGAAGATTAGAAAAGAATCAAATAAAATCTATAAATCTATGTCAACGCCTTAACAAAAATGTAAATATTTAGAATTTAGCCGTTATTGATAATATAAATTTCAAAAAAGCAACTTTAGATATGGAAACATTTTTGACATAATATATACCAATACACATACTATACTTAAAATGGGTTTTCAACACCAAATGCCTTTTAACTTACGTAAAAATGTAAATAATAAAAATCATATTAATTCTCCATTAAAATTATTTAGTATGAATCAAACAATTAGAGATATTTTAAATATTTTTGATTTTATTTTAGATGATCTTTTTAATATTAAAATAAATTCACAAAGAATAACAGTTTATCAAACAAATTTTAATATGAGTACCATATATGAAAAATTTTAAATTGTGTTGAATATGGATGTAAAATAGATTCCCTAAATATAGTAATTTTAGAACCTAGTAGAACTCTAAATTCAGATGAAGGTATTTTTGAATCTATACAAATGTATTGTCAGCATTGAAAATTTGCTCTAGAAAAATGAATTACAAAAAGTCATTAGATTTAATTTTATATAGATTATATTAAGGAAAATCTTGATCAACGTATTGCATTGGTAAATCATTTAATTTGAAGGATTTACAAAATTCACCTGATTCGCTTATTTCTTCTGTATTTTCTGAATAATCTGTTTATTCTATTTACTCTATTTCGTCTGTAATTTCTTTAACATCTGTAATTTATTTTATTTTTTTTTATTATTTTTATTATATTTAAGTATATTTTTATTGAAATATACACTCCCCTGAAGAAAATATCTGGGCACTCAAAAAAAAAATTTATTTTTATTAAAATATTTTCATATTTAA